CCTAAACTGCCACCTTAAAGTCTAACATAGTAATACAGGGTTAGGCTACATTTAAAGCCACAGTTTCAGAAGCCAGAAGTTACTTTCAATTTATGTCTTTTTTTAATATGCATTTTGGCCTCATAGTTGTTCTAATATAATATTTTTGTATTTATGCAGCAGTCTGCTACTTCCTGAGCCTTGTTCAGCTGGAGGTTTCTTCCTGTTAAAAAGGAGTTTTTTCTTTCCACTGTCCTTTGATTTGTCAAGGTTTTCTCTCTGATATTGTACCTTAACAATGTAAAGCACCTTGAGGCAACTGCTTTTTATTGTGTGAATTGAATTAAACTGAACTGAATTAATTTATGCCAGATACATTAAATTATAGCTAAGGCAGTAGATGTGAACTAAACTCTAACTCTGTCACTAAATGACGATTGGATTGGACTGACTGAACCTTAAGAGGCTAACATTTCACATATTTTCATCGTTTTTAAACCATTCAGTGAGCTCCCTATGGATAGTATAGTATAGTATATAGAAAGATAGATAGATACTTTGTATCTAGGGGGAGAGATGGGCCCTGCATAAACAAATAACCCGTTTAACTTTAAAAGGCACAGTGGTGTTATAGAATGTCCCCTTTTTTTTTAAAAAACAATGATAATTCTTCGTCAACCACATAACTGAAGTATGCCATCTGGAGGATGTAGGCTGAATATCATGCTGCTGTTTCTCTCACACATACCTGACATTTTTTATATGTGTTGCTGCCATCAAATTCAAAAGAAACAGGTTTTTCATGAGAGGGTAACATGTTTCAAATTAATGATATAAGAAATAATACTAGTGTTTGGTAAATGGACAGGTGTTTATGTAGCACTTTTCTTCTCAAGCTGAGCACTTAAAGGGCTTTTTGCTACAAGTCTTATTCACCCAGTCACACACTGGATTTGTAAAAAGAGAATGCAAATATACGTTCTTATTCTTAGTCTTCTTCTTCTTCTTCCTATTATTATTATTACTGTTTTTTATTGTGTGAATTGAATTAAACTGAACTGAATTAATTTATGCCAGATACATTAAATTATCTGGCATACATTTAAATAATAATAATAATAATAATAATTATTATTATTGAGTTTGTTTCATCCAGGACGTATCTATTAAAATATGTCTGGTACAGCTTTGATCTCTTGTAGTTAAAAGTGAAAGTCTTATGAGAAGACAGACAATAACAGTTAGCATATGGATTGCACAGGCAGTCACCATTCAGATTTAATGGCCCTTCTGTGGATGAGTATGTTTAGCTGCCAGATTCTTCATGGTTCCACACTATGCAAAAAAATGGCTTCTTTAATATTTTTAATATTCTCTAATATTTCTCTAAAACAAACAATAACAAACATACAAAAAACACCGCAAAAAACAAATGCACTTGAGCTGTTGTTCAGTCATAAAAGCTCCCCCATCATCAATATTTATGTTCCAGTACACACTGTTAGAAAAAGCATCTTGAAAAAATAGTAATATTCCGGCAGCTGGGGCACCAAAATACGACCGTATAATTACAGAAAATAACTTCCTCATAAAAATACGGTTATTTCCAGTAATGAAAATACAATTAGTTGCGCTAATTTGACATGGGATCTCGCCTTTTTCAAGGGCCGCTAAACATTAAATTAGGAACATTTTTACGTGATCAAACAATGAAATTACCTATAAACAAGGTCACTGAATGTGGAAATATGAATCATAACACACATATACAGTTAACAGTTGGTTTAAATAATAATTGATTGCATGCCCTGGGACAGACTGACAGAGGCGAGGCTGCCATATTGCACCATCGGCCCCTCTGGCTATCACTAGTAGGCGGTAGTTGAAGAGTCTTGACCACGGACACAACGGCGGACAGTGTCCGAGCCGGGGCGCGAACCAGCAACCTTCTGATAACAAGGCAAACTGCCAACTCTTGAGCCACAATCGCCCTAACTAGCAACGATAATAATACTTATGTGATGTAACACAAGCTTATAGGGATCATGTTATATATTCCATAGCATTACATTTGAATTCAACAGTTCAATCTTTCAAATAACGGACAGATATTTGTGAAATCATGATACATTTGTGAATGTATTTTAACAATCTAAATATGCATATGCACAGACAGATACATTTAATAATCATGAATGTATGTTGTATTACATTGCAGTGATTTAACGTTGATTTACATTCAAAATGTGAAGTCAAAGTCTATTTACGTAACTTTAATGATATTCTAGAAGAACAGAACATTACTGTAAAATGCAGTAAAATACCTTCATATTAGGGTTTTTTCCTACGCTCGCAGGCATACCCGCAACCTTGTTGTTAGTTCACATTCATTGGCCGATGCTTAGCGACATATTATTTATATTTATTGCAACTCCTACCTCTACATTTCTTTTTCAAAATATATAATTAGCACAGAGTGTTCGTGCAATGTTTTACATTGTGGCATGCAGAGAAATCTTAACAAAGAGGCTCACAGAGAGAGATTGAACTTGTTATTTAACCCCAAGCTGGTAGGGGGAGCACTTTATTAAAACACTTGCTGGTGCTGGTGCTGTTCAACAACAGCACAACAGAAGTCACTCATGGTACAGCACTCTCTCTACAAAACAACAACTGTCAGTGACGCTGCACCACGGCGTAAACACAACATTCAAGATAACAGTTAAAAGTAACGTAACCATAAACAACAAAACAAGAACATCTAAACAGCAGCACATGTCCCAAGGCATGATGGGAGACATTTCTGGATTTCTGGATATTTTTACAATCTAAATATGCACATGTACAAAAAAATATATTTAAAAAACAAGTAAATTGTGTTTTATTACATTTACAGTGGTGTTATGTTATTTTACATTTGACGTGTCAGATCACAGTCTACATTATCATTACAATGTAAATGTAATGATATTCTAGAAAAACAGTACACAACTGTAAAATACACAGTAAAATAATTTGACATTACTATTTACAGTTTACTATTACAGTGCAGGATATGGTTCTTTCTGTCTGTGTTCTAGGCAAAGAGCTTCTCCATTACTCTTCCATTTGTATTGAAGGATGGATGCATGCCCTAATAATCTGCCCCGTCCTTTCTCCTACCAAAGTAAAGGCTGTCTACAGAAAGGGTCAAGGATGAATCTACTTAACACACTGCCATAATGACATGCTGCACAGAATATTGTGCGCTGGTTTTTAAGATGGCTTGGTCAGCTTCAAGTGCAAATGTTCTCATTTTGTAAGCATGCATATTGTAACATATTGTTATGTTATGTAATGCTGAATTGAAAAGTAAATATTGACTGGGCTCCATGCAGCAGACTGGGACTCATCAAAAGCTTATGATGGCTTGGTTTGGATTTGGTTTTATTCACGTAGCCATTTGTCTCTCATCTCAGCATTATTAGATTATTAAAATAAAGTAAGTTTTTACAATTACTCTGATAATCATAGTGGTAGCAAAGCTTTCTTCTTCAGCTATTGTCACCAATCTAATATGTCATTGGAGACTGGTGCAGTGATAATGAGCTCTAGTATTCATGTACTGTGGTTTCAGAAAGGAGTCAGCTTAATTTGTTGGTAAGCTTTTAGATTAACATCCCCTCCACAGTCCATAAAAAAATTAAATAAAGTTTTTCAGTGTTTTTGAATTTTAATTAAAAAAACAAAACAATAATTGAATAAATTGCCACACTCCAAACTAGCACACCAAGGACCAAAAGCAAGGCGCTAGGCCACCTCTTTAGACAATAAACAGTGATCTTCAACATGTCTTTCTCTGGTCATCAGAAACTCCTTCACCTGCAGAACTTCAACACTTTGATGGCGGTGGTGGGGGGCCTGAGCCATAGTTCAATTTCTCGCCTAAAAGAGACTCATTTATATTTGGCTCCTGAAGTAGTCAAGGTAAGTCAGTGCCAGTCTTTTGTATGTAGATTCATATATGATTACTACACAGTTACAGGTGATTCAGTGGCAATGTATTTTCTTAGCAACAAGCCTTTACCCTGTTTCATTAAGGAATTTGTACTGCAGCGCGGTGGCGCTGTGATTAGAACTGTTAACTCACAGCAAGAAGGTCCTGATTTTGGTTCCACCACCTGGCCTCTCTCCTTGGAGTTTTCATGTTCTCCACATGTTTGTGTGGGTTCTGCCTGGGTACTTTGGCTTCCTTCCATAGTCCAAAGACATGCATAACTTAAACTTTTGATTTGCTTATGAATATGGTGTACCCTTTACCGTTTGCTGCTTCTTGCCACAGATCTGGAATGAGATGACAGAGCTGGTCTCTTCCAACAACAATTACTCTTGCTACCGAAAAGCCTTCAATGAGTGCCAGGGATTTAAGATCCCAGTACTGGGTGTGCACCTAAAGGACTTGATTGCAGTGCATGTGGTGTTTCCTGACTGGATTGGTGATGGTAAAAAGGTGAACCTCGTGAAGATGCATCAGCTTTACATGACCTTCAATGAGCTGGTGTCCCTGCAGAGTGCGGTGGCCCAAGTTGAACCCAACATGGACCTCATCTACCTACTAACGGTGAGGGATTACCACACATGGATTTGAAATGTCACTGTCCAGCTAATTGTGCACACACAAAGGACTCTTTCAAGAGGTTAAGGAAAAACAGATCATTTTATTTTCTAAAGACCCTGCTTCATTTTCTTCACTCTTGTTTGTTTCTGTCGCTTGTTGTTGTTTTCGACTTTTTTTTCATCAGTCAAATCAGGTTCATATATGATAAGAAGCTCCTTGAGAATATTGGCTTGTTGTCCTCGTTACCTAGTCTCAGAAAGGAAGCTCTTTTTTGCATACAACCTTTCTCTTGATAGTCTGCTTTGTTAGTATGGCTTGTTTTTTACTACAGGAACTTGCACTTTAAACAAAAGGTCACTTTACAACCCTCAATTGTTCTTTGACTTTTTGAAACTTATTATACCACAATCCTTTTATTTTTCAGCTTTCGTTAGATCTGTATTATACTGAGGATGAGATTTATGAGCTGTCATTGCTAAGGGAACCCCGTAACTCTAAATTGGTAAGTTTTAGTGTAACTATAACCACTGACTTTCATCAAAGACTTTCACCAACTAAAAATCTTCTTTTGGACAATTTCAAATTTTTCTTTCTACCATTTATCACACAGGGCAGAAAATTAAACACCCTTTTGCCTTTGTATTCGGTTTAATTGAATTCAATGTTATTTAATAACATTATTCAATTAATATTTAATAATGTTATTTATATAGCATCAAATCACAACAACCGTTTCCTCAGGCGCTTTATATTGTAAGGTAAAGACCCTACAATAATACAATAATACAAACAGAAAAAAAGTGCTTTGTAAGATCCTGTTGTCTTGATGTGAATATTTGGTGGGTCCTGTTTGTCTAAGTCTCGTCCTTCTGCACAGCCTACCTCTCCAACAACTCCCAACAAGCCATTGGCCCCACTGGACTGGGCATCTGGTGTCGCTACCAAACCAGACCCCTGTCTGGTCAATAAACATATCAGGAAGGTAGTGGATGTAAGTATACAAACATACTTTTCAAAATCGGAAGAAACGGCTCCTGTTGTAGGTGAAAGTAATCTGTTTCCCTGTCTGTACTGGGAAAGTCTGTGTTCAGGAATTATGACCATGACCGGGATGGATACATTTCTCAAGAAGACTTTGAGAGCATTGCAGCCAACTTCCCCTTGCTGGACTCTTTCTGCGTTTTGGATAAAGATCAGTGAGTTTGGAACATTACAATACAGTTAAGTTTGTTGTTTTTGCTGTCTAATAAAACATAATCCAGTTTTTCAACAAGGCAATAACTGCCTGAAGTCTAAAGCCCATGGATGCCACAAAAAATTCGGTTTTGTTCTTGTTGATGACTGTCTTCAGGATTATTCAGCGGTTTATCTTTTGCAAAGTATCCACTTATTTACCTTCAAAAACTGTTTGGTTGTTTTTGTAGACAGTATAAAAGATAAACTTAGATTCAGCGTCTGAAGAAATGAAACCAGCAGATACACTTTAAACTGCGTTTACCTTAATGACCTGCAGGGGGTAACTCATTAATCTACAAAGAGTCCCTCAGATGGAACCTCATTAATGTATGGCCTCAAATCATTCTCAAATAGTGTCAAATCATACAAAATAAAACACTAAGTTCATGTTCAGTTGATATCAAAAGAGAGAAATAGTGTAGGCTCATAAATTGTTGCAACTTCGTGTCCTCATCTTCAGCTTCATATACCCCTCTCTCCTGTCAAACCACCAGAGTCACAGCCTTTAAAATGCTCACCTGGAGATTACACAACTAGACTTGAGCAATAACTTTGTGACATCATGGGGGATTCGTCCATCTTTTGCAGTGTATGGATGTTTTTCCAGTTGCTTTTTACGTCATTGTCATTTGCACCGTGAAGACCTGTCCAATAAACCTTCCATATGGCTGAAACTGAGCAGGCTGTGTCTGTACAGAGGTTGGAATTGATGAGGCTGCTTCACTGGTGAGCCAGTGCCACTGGAGATCATACGGCCCATACCTTACCTTACTTTATGTTTCATACTACTACTTACAGGCTTAAGTGCTCTCTCTCTCTCTCACTCACTCACACACACACACACACACACACACACACACACACACACACACAC